ACACACACACACACACACACGTAACCCCCTACCCCCTCCCAAGACACACGAAAAACAAACTAACGAAACAAGCCACACGTACCAGCATCGTTGAGTGCCGCCAGCTCCTGCAGAAAGTCGTCCGTATCGCTGGAGTCGGAGATCCCCGGAAGGTCCAGCTGTTGCAGTAGTTCCATCTGACTGCTCATGCTCTGCTGGGGCTCCGATTGTCGCTGCGCGGGCGATGACGACGGCGATTCAGACGGCGATGAAGAAGCCGACGATACAGAGGCCCTGGACTGCTGGATCGGGCCTGAACTGATTTGAGTAGCCATTTTGGAGACGTCCGTTTATTGGGTCAGGAGTAACAACTCCTCAGATTCGAACAAACCACGAATCAGCTACTGTCACAGATCAATTGTCACGGTTCAATTGTCAATTGTAGCTTCAATATTTCAACTGCAAGCTTTTCATCAAGCTTGGCTCGAGAAGAATACTACTTGTACTTAATCCCAGCAATACTTCACAATGTCAGTTTAAATGTGAGTACATCTATAAATAGCATAAAAACACAACACTTAGAGCTCTGAGAACTCAAAGATGTCTATGGTGTAGTTGTCATCTTCATAAGAGATGACAACTTTAAATTTGGTACTGGAAAGTACGAGTCCCTCTCTTTATCCGAGAAGGTCGATGCAAAAAAAGGTAAAAGTCACGGAAAACGTGCACATTGGTATCTAATTCCAGATACCGATTCCAGATACCGCACGTGGGGTAGACAATCAGTCAATAGCTTTGTTTGTTTTTTGCCTTGCCTTCTCTCTTTCCTTCTCGTAGTTTACGTTTCAGGAAAGTTCACACGGCCATGTAACTGGCAAAAGTCAGAGAGAAACCCGGGCTCAATTCCAATAAATTTAAATTACAAACGAGCAAATACGAGGTGGCAAAATCTAGAGAAACTGTTACAAAAACGAACAATAGACAGTGATGTACACTGCTGGATAAAATAATATGTAAAAAGTGAAAAGTTGCATTTGGATATTGCGTCTGGTTATAGAATCTGCCTGGTTCGGCTATCGGCACGTGATGGTCTTGTGAGAAACGAGGGAGAAAAGGTCAAAGTCGACGAATAAAGGTGAAGGTCGAGGTAGCCAAGTTGTCTGTGGATGACGATGGCGATGACGACGAGGATCGGAATGAGAGATGAGAAATGACGTCAGCAAAGCTTCACTTCTGACGTCACATCCTGAGCATGGGTGAAGCGATCGGGGCCAGGGCAAACGTATCAGCAGACGCCATGGCAGGCGGGAGTGACGTCACGATCCATTGAGGTAGTCACGTGACTGTTTGACACCACTGTTGTCATGGTAACGAGGGTCTCCTGAAGAAATAATTTCCTGTACAATCCGTAAACTATCTTAGAAAATCACCATCAATGTGCAACTGTCCAGTATATTCTAAAATGACAACTTGATCCCATGATTTTACGTTTATATTCGCTACACAAGCACAAGAGGGTCTTCTTTCGACTTTATTCCAATATGTTCATGAGTTCATGAGATGAGTGTGTGGTGGGTTTCAGTTTTCCTTATAAACTGTAGAGTTCAATGAACGAGATGGATATCTCTTGAACGATGTGTTTACATGTGAAAGTGATCAGCAGACTCAGCTAAGCGAGGATGATAAGATCTGAAACAATAATTCTAAAGTGCGGGACCTAATTCCACTAATGCAAATCTTCACTCGTATACTTGTATAAATACACTAGCACACAAATTCCTTCGAGAAAACCCACAAGAATACACAAATTAAAAGCAAAGATGGGTTTCTTTCGATGAGAGGCTCAGTTACTCTTTGTCCACACAGCAAACAGTCTATCTTTGGCGGGTACTCGGTACTTCTATCTCAGCACGTCTTTCCTCCCTTTTCTCCAAACTGTCCGTCCTTTCTTTTCTCCTCTACTTTCCTTTCTTCAACTCGCCCTTTTTTTCCTCCTACTCTCGGTCTCGCCAAATGCGACAATCAAGCATGTGACGTCACGTCAGCACGCTCCAAAATTCCGCAGCTGCGCAAGTCTGAGAGATACTCTGTGAAGAAGAGAGAAAAATGAGAAAATTAATATTTCAAAGTCACCGAGTTGTCTGTTAAAATTGCGTTGGGTGCTGTCTCGATTTTAAGAAAATGTTTTTGGAGTTTTGTCATCGAAGCCAAATTCATTATTTAAACTGGCAGATTCAGAAGTAATTACAGGAAACTAATTTTGGAAAAGTCGGATATGTGCTCAAAGAGGTATAGTAAATGAAAAAAAGAAAATTTTTAACGTTTTGAACAAAGGCTCTTCTCATAAAGAAACGATCTCGTTTCCTCTCAGCCCAAGCACAGCCTGGGGGGTGGGGGAGAGAGAGAAAGAGAGAGAAAGAGAGATAGAGAGAGAGGGGAGTAGGAAGGGAGAGGGGCAGAGAGAGAGAGAGGGATAGAGAAAGAGAGCAGGAGGGGAAGGGACTGAGGAGACACACAGACAGGCAGAGAGGGGGGAAGAAAGGGAGAGAGAAAGAGAGAGAGAGAGAGAGAGAGAGAGAGAGAGAGAGAGAGAA